TATAAAAGTGTTCAGTATTACATATTATCCAATGTATGGAATGGAATTGTGATTAAGACTCTGATTGGCTTGCATGTTATTTTCTCTCTTTGCAGTATAAAAAGCCAAATGTTGTTTTGGAAACCGAGGGGCTGTTGTATAAAGAGTTGGAAAAACTGAAATCGTCTAAAGATGGTGACATGGAATGCAGTCCAAGTTAATGATACAGATCTCTGAATTTGAGGAGGGTAGTTAAAAACATTAAGAGGGAACCCATCTCTAATCACTTAGTTCAAAGTAACTTGAATCCTCATTGTAATATACCGCAAACATTATTCGATTAATGGTCTACACGTAATTTAGCTGCGTTTTTGCTGTTTTTGTTCATTTTACAATTACACAATAAAAAGGCACATGCTGCAAATTTCAACCTTTCTTTAGTTGGCTTTACAATAAAATGCAGAAATAAATTTGTTCTAGTATCTTTTTATATATCGATAATAATTTCACCTCATATACAGATCTGTTGCTCCCTAGCAGGTCTAGTGTCCCCTGATGCAAAATCACGATCCAAAAATTTGATGAATTGCTCAGGCGAGCAGACTTTTTTCCCCATACATGTACTCCGACTCAAATGTACATGTTGGATTGTATGCTATTTCACTACAAATGTTTGATCATAAGATTACATATATATGATTAAATTTGTCAATGCTGTTTTGTTACTGACACTACTTCCAGATTACAAGTTTTCTTTTCTACAAATTATTGTAATTTATTGTATATTTTAATAATAAACTTCTTGTTGAATGATGCTGTGTGTTATATTAGTTGACTTTCTATGGTAAGTGCTGTATAATTGAATACCATTTACTCCGTATGCCCTCAGAGGTGTATAATCATCAGATAAAAAATTAGAAAACACATTACATAGTCATTGCTTTCATGAGAAAACATATCAGACCATCGAGCAATCCAATTTCACAATCCAATTCAAGATGGTCAAATGTTAATTACCAGTTTTGACTGTCTCGGACATGCAGGTTGGCAATAAATATAAACACTAAACATTACAGCGGGGAGTGTACTATCTGAAGCTAACATGAATCGTGTATCATTGACTCATTAAAAGTTGTTAATTAAACAGAAAGGCACCAGACTAAATTACTGGGTGATATTACTGTGCTTTAGCTTCAAATATAATTAAATTATGGAAACTTTACCCAAAATCTAGTGAAATTAATCTTTCTCTGTAGGAGGAAGTCTGAAATCGTTAAATTATTGGTTGACTTTGGGCCACACGTGCATGTATCCCCGCTTGCATCTTAGACATGTCTGAGCCATTCACACATATACCGCTTCTTGGAATACATATACACCTCTGTTCATTTCATGATCCGATTAAAGATGATCATATGGTGGCTATTTTCATGGTAAAAATTCATCAAATTAAACATTTCTGCCATTCAAAATTTCTTGTATACATTGGATATTACAGAACATTGATGCACATAATTTCTTTTTTTCGATATAAGATTCAAAATGGCTGACAGATGCCATTTTATTTAATGAATCTGGACCAGAGACGTATCCCTGACTTGCTTGGGCAGATCATATACAAACTTATATATATTAATATATCATGTTACACATATGTAACATTTCACAATCCAATTCAAGTCGAATGTTAATTTATTTAAATCAAGCATTTTTGCCATTCCAGAATCTTATCTCTGTCATAATTGGTCAGCTATTGTTCAAGCTTGATTACATATGTTGATCATAACGGCTGAATGACAGATGTTTTATATTAATAATGCAGTTTTAGAGCCATCTCTCTGACAAACCTTGACTGATTGCAATTAAACTTTACAACTACAATATACATCTTGTCACACTTCATTTCTGTGCCTCAGCCATCCCAAATAAGATTTTCTAGCGATACGTAGTATAGCATGAAAATATTGTTTTGTTGGCACAAAATGTGATACGATATCTTGCAGTGTGCACGAGACTGCAAAGTGCTTGTGTCAAAGAAATGGGTCAATTATTATAAGCCATGTTACATGGATGGCCTCTGATTGGTTCAGAGTTTACTTTGTTGCAATATTGGCACAGAGCGGGAATATGTAACCCTCAGATTGGCTAACACAGTTGGAAATGTGTGATTACCAATTTAGTATTACCTGTCCAGGCTCACACTTAAGCAAAGGAGGTGCATACCCCATCCCCACCCTATTACGTTCACAGCTATTGTGATAAATTATACATCATACTACATATGTAACTTGGTAAGCCATGCTTTTCCAGAGTTTTTACCCCACAGGGTTTTTACCTCTGTTTTTTTAATGCAGGCATTTTCAATTCATTAAATGTTGACAATGTGTAATGTTTTTTATAAGGTAGAAAATTTGTTGGAATGTCCAGTCTTTGAAAAATGTTTATGAGACAATTTTCTGTTAAATTTAGGCAACCTTTCATGGTGCTTCGTTGCATATACTATTTGGATCAGTTTATTCAAACCTCCATAATAAACATGTGAGAATCCTTCTTTGTTTGTTTGTATGTGGTGGTTCACTGAATATGTTATGTGAACGAGAGTGCAGCCGGAGCGTAACTGTTTTTATATTTGCAGAGCGCACTCTGGTGTTGATATGAGAAACTCTTTTTGTTTATATTTGTCTAGAAATTTCAAAACCAAAAAGCTATGTGTTTGTTGTCAATCGTGCGATGAATTTTATGTTAACTATCACAGTATTTTTCCAGTATATAGGTGCTCTGGGGATAATGCTCAAACCTGATAAAATTTTGGTTGAAATGTCGTGCATATTAATTGCCAATTTGCATATTAATTGGCCGATTTAAGCAGTTTCGTTTGTTTCTCGTGCTATTAATAAACAGATTTCAATGAAACTTTGTACATACTCTAGGATAATGTTCAGACCTGATTAGTTTTGGGGTGAAATTTTGTGCATATTAATTATCTAATTTGCATATTAATTAACCAAATTTAAGCATTTACACTTGTTTCTCATGAAATACATTTCAATGAAATGTTTGCCATGCCTCCAAGAATAACTTCAGCACGTGGTAGTTCTTTCTAAGCTTACTTTGATTTCTCTTTCACTTTTCTTTGAGACCTCGCAGCTCAGTGTACCTCCTTAAGTTAGCGTCAATAATGTTATTATACGTTTAATACTGTGTGTGTTTTCTCTTGATTGTTTATCAACAACATTTATCCACGCGTAATCAAAATTTTGTGGAAATGAATATAATTGACTCCCGTGCCAGTGCGAAGCACATAATTGAAGTTTTTGCAGATAGTGTGTCTTTGTGTGTCTGTGTGTGTGTGTCTGTTCCACTGATTGCTCAAGAACCATATGTTGGTTTTTGATTAAACTTGATGCATAGATGCTCTGGGCTAATTCGCAGATCTAATTAGTTTGGGCTATAAGTCTGTGCATATTAATCACCTAATTTGTATATTAATTAGGCAACTTTAAGCATTTCCAGTTGCTCCACGTGTACTATTCAACAGATTTCAATGAAACTTGGTACATGGATTTGTAGACCTGATTAGTTTTGGGTTGAAATCAATGTGATATGAATAATGTTTCAAATGACTATATATGGTCATGTGACCTCAATAATATTCATAACTGTAATATCTTAAGTCCTGTCGCAGATGGACATGCATCTGGAGCTATAATTTTGTTGTCTGACCGGATATATAACTAACTTATCATTATTATTTCATTAAATATGTCTAATTGTTAATACCATAGCTACTTGGAACCACCCTGATTATTGCTTGCAGTTATATTTTCAAATGCTCTATTTGCCCTAATAGAAGCACATGTGCTAACTTCATGCCACCATTATCTCCAGCACAGGGAGTTCTTTCTAAGCTTTCTTTGATTCTTTAGTTGCTGTAAATTGATACGTATTTTCATACCGATTATAGTACAGTCCCCAGTAGAGCACACTGTGAGTAGAGAGACTGTCCTTCTAGGCACACTTATTTTGTGTCATATTATACCGCATTGGGATTGAAGTTTCTAAACAATAAACTATGACATTTTAACATCAGTACATATAATACGTTTTCACGTGTGGAGTTTCTGTTCATTATTTTCTGATGTACTTATCTAGTATTTATCGTGTTGACGTCTGTCCTTTGTGTCCTTTAAAACAAACTCTACAAACACGCTACGCCGACGTAATGGTTCTCTAGAAAAAATCTTGTGAATGATAAAATCAAGTCAAATTCGAGGTATGTACGAAGCGAGAACAGATTGTTACATTCAGCTCATCACAACACAACCCGAGGCGGGGTACCTGGCTAGTATAGGATACAATACAATTCGTTTCCACTGATTAAAAAAAAAGTATTTTTTTTTTCAATAACATTTTTGGAAATATCGAAACACCCGTTGTGTGGATCTTTCAGTCACCGTTGTTGCTGTGGGTGAGGGCGACTACATTTGAATAAGAGACTCCCGGTCGCCCGCGCCTCTTTATATACCATGTCGGTCTTCATGGAGATACTAGTACGCAGTGTTCTTGTTCCCCGGGGAGTATAGTAGTAGACGATCATTTCCTCAGGCTGGCGTTTTAGCTGTTCCGCTTTCCAAGAGAAGTTCTAATACATTGACGTCATTTAGAAAATTAATTTTGTCCTCGTTCGACCTCAAGAAAATGGCTGTAACGCACGGTTTATCGAGCTAAATCCCGGGGAAAACAACAAACAGGTAATTTTTGTCATGATTTTCCCGCTGGTAAGTGTATAATAAACGCATTGATTAGTCTCGGCGCGTGATATACGGAAATGGTGTACTTTTTATTGACTTTTATTTGCGATGCCATTTGGCATCTGAAAATACCAAATTTAATGACACCAAATGTACCAGAAATGACTAAAATACCATCACAAAGACTAAAGACCGACACAAGAAGAGCTATAGACCCACAGCTACACAACACATATTCGTAGATAATCAATCAATCAATCAATCAATCAATCATTTCTTCTCAACTTCTTAAACGATTTAGTTCTGACATTATACTTCCTTGACATTTAAATGTTGATTGTGGGTAACAATCACTTTATGTTTGATAGTGAAGTTATAAAAAGTGAAACATCACCGTACCCATGACTGTGTCGAATCCCCCCCCCCTTGTTATGACGTGTGAATAATGCTCCGCGAAGCGCGCCACCAACGTTCAAATTGCTACACTTGTTACACATGTCAAACACATGCCATGCATCACACACTCTTCTGTAAGTCGTCATAGTATTCAGCTTAAAAGCTTGCGAATTTGCATATTACGGTCCGGAATCATATGTATATTATTTCATATACCAGATAAATAATCGTCTATTGATACTATTGATTATGAGTAATTTTTGCACAAGGGATCCATCGATATTGACAACTTGCTTGTTTACATTTTCGATTCACAAGCCAACTGAATGACGGAGCCATTAGTACTATAAAAGCAAATGTCCATCAACAGAGCTAGCTAGAAAGCTAACCAGAGCGAGTGATGATAGAACTTTAATCCAGAACAAACCAACGCATGACGTAACATGTAGTAAATTATTCACTGTGCGTGCAGTAACTTTATGGAACACGTTATAGATATGTAAGAAGCATGCCTACTCTCTCCGAGTATATGGCCTTAATTTAAAAATGTGTTCATCAACAATTTCGAAACTAATAGAAATTGTACTTTGAGTCTTGTGCCTAATTTATATCTCGATATGTGGGTAACTATGATGTACTTATGTTTGTGTTGGAAAAACATAAATAAAAATAAATAAATACAAGTTCTTGTTTTACACTACTATTGATCATGTAATTCAGCAATGCCCAACTCTGTGCATGTGGCAATGTCACGTGATTTGTTTATTCCGCACGTTTTTTGTGTGGCCAGTATCAGATATATAAGAGTTGTATTACAAGTGGATTACCTAGTCACGAGGAGTGTTGGTATTAATATTCCTACCACCCAAGCAGACTTCATCTTTAAAAAACGTGGTGTTTATATACATTTGATGTTAATACTATTTAATTTAATTTAATTTCAGGGTATAATAGAAATTCTCCAGTGTTATATGCATTAAAAATAGTCTACACAAAGTAGGGTAGGGTAGGTAACAAAAATGTGAACAGAATGGTTAAAATACGAAATATTGTGAAATTGTTGCTATTTTTCAGAGATTCCTTTTTTTTCATTTCGAAAAAACAAAAACAGAGATGACTTGTAAATCAGATCTCAGTTTTATTTGCAGTTTTAATTTGTTATTACAGCAAAATATTGTCATTGTTATACCATCATTCCGATTGTTACTCACTTTGATACAGGTGAAATATGGTCGATGTTTCAGACTGTTTGTATTTGTTTTCCTTTCTGCCTATCACTAGCCTGTATTAGTATCTGTGTCCTCTCTGACCCCGGCGACTGTGAACCACAACACGCGCGTCGCGGAGACTGTGTTTTGACGACGCTCATTGGCTGGTTTATTATTACGTCAGTGTTATATTCCGGGGGTCGCGTAAAGTGTGGGGTCACAACAAATTAACAGGTAACTACTATCTTTCTGATGCGGGTAAATTTGTCCTGACGTGTTGCATCTTTTAAGTAAATTATTTATTGTTAGGTTATATATGTGGTTGCCAATTAAATTTCAATTTAATGATGAAAACATAGCAACATATTACTTGAGTATATGTTCTTTGACAGCCTTACACCCCCGCACAAATAATGGTTGTGTCAAAGTGAGGGAGCACTCCAATGAATGATTTCGCTTGCGAGTGTGCTGAACTGCGATCGATCGCCTTCGTTCACCAAGCTTTTCTGGAGCGCGGCGTGGTCATGTACGTTGGATAGGAAGTCATCAGAGGTAAGCTTTTACGTATATTTCGCGACGTTTTGAAACAGATCCACATCAGTATGAATCTAAGTAGTATTGAGAACAATCGTGGGTTGTTACAGTGCAATCCCGGTTCAATTTCGCGGAATTTGTACATGTCAAACTCAGAATGACCGTACATCATGCCCGACCCCATCACACATTGGCATCTTGTCGATCGCACGAATATTCTTCCGCGGTGATCGAAGCAGACGTGCGAGAAAAATGCGAATTTTATTATTTTTGTGAAATCAGTCACTTATTATTAGGAGATTTCAAATCAATTTCAAACGATGCTGACTGAAATTCAACATCGGAAGTGCTTTAAGTTCATTTGATGATCGTGTTTACTTGGTCCATATCAACGATGTTTGTTTTGTTTCCACTGTCCATGAAACTTGTAGTACTTCTATACCCTGCCATGTCTGTATGATCAATAATTTGTAACGTGAACACGTATTTATTTAATCGCCTCCCAAATCATTAAAATTATAGTCCAATGACTTAAAAATATTTATAAAAACAAATAATTGACCTCCTTTCGAGAGGGAAGAGTTGACAATTTCAGTTATTTATAGAATATTGTTCCAATTTGAAGTACGAATACTATCACGGTGCCCCACCATGGTGATCCTTATTTTCAGCTCAAAAACTCTTGCTCAATAACTAACTTAAACCATCGCGTTTTATTGGGTTTAAAAATAACTACGACGTATATTTCTTTCTGTTTGTTTATAGACTGCCTAGCTGCTGCCATCAGAAGCTGTGGAATTTCCGCACGTAAATTTACCGGTCGACTAAGAACACCGCCGTGACGCGTATGAGGGGATTTGAATGGACTGCAGAAGGGATGGCCACACGGTAGTTGATTACTGCATTTGAACGCAGAAGGGGATCACTTATCCCCTCTCCCCCTCTCACACACACCACAGTATACAGTTGTTTTACTTTGTTTGTTTATGCCTAGAAATAAATTGGACATCAAAGAATGGGAAAGTGAAGTCTAACTTCATAAATAAACCAGTGCCTCTTCGTAACTTACCTGGTGTACTTACCCAGGATAATCAACAGCTGCAGCATCACTTGGCTCAGCTTGCCTCAGTGTTTTCACACTCTGTGAAATACTATGGTAACGGTGATCACGGAGAAGTTGAGAAACCAATCTCTAGAAGATGTTTCTACCTTCGAGCAAATAGTAAGTATGATTTAATATTTTAAAGTCTTTTTCAGATGGTGTCCATTTAATGATTTACATATGGTCAAAGGCTTTTCAATCACATTGAAAGTATATTTTTTGACAGGACACTTAGTTAATACTGTAAAGGGGGTAATTATTCACTGGGTTTTAATTTAGCTTATTTCGCTGACTGGAAAAATGCGCTAAATTAAAACACAGTGAATATGTAAAATTTAGCATAGAACACATTATCTAAATGACGAAACCGTGAATTTAAAACCCACTGAATATGCCTGAAATGGTAAATCAGTGAAATTTAAACCCAGTGAAAATTAGTCATTTTACAGTAGCTAGTACTGTAAAATCTGCATTAGAAGCCACGTCCCTAATAGAAGCCACACACATTCTTTCTGAACAATTGAGAACCAAAAAATCACAATTCCTCATTTGCGTAGGTGCTCTAATAGAAGTCCAAAACCTCTGTTGCATTGTACCATTTTAATAGAAGTCACAGCTTCTAATACAGATTTTACAGTAATACTAATATATGAGTTGCTGTAGTACTCAAATCCCATGAAATAATAAAAGCACTTAACACCTAATAGACATGTTTTAAAAATAGAATACAAACTTGGTATTACTCTAAGGAGCAAACTATGAGAATAAAATGCTTGTCTCTATTACTTGAGGATTGAACATGCAATACAGAAAGTTTCTTGAATTCCAACGCCCAAAGTGAAGATTCGCAGGCTAATCAATATTCGTATGATCATAAAAGTTGTATGTCTGTTATAGCGGAATAAGTACTTAATTACAGTTATGTGTTGTCTGTGTTTTCTCATGCTTTCATTCATTTATGTGTTTGATAGATTCCATATAGGACAAGAAGTCGAGTGAAATACTTCAAAAATATCAGCTCTATTCATTCTCTCGGTATGTACACAGTCAGCAGCTAAGAAAAAAGTTGTCTTTGTAATTCTGCTGTTGACTCCTTCAGCCGCTTTTACATGAGCCAGTGTTTATTTCAAGTAGTTTGTGACAGTCAGAAAAGCGATTAAACCCCTATAAAACTGAATCTGGGTTAATATCGATATCACTCATAATTTTTTTCCCCGTGTTTACTTCAGTGATGAAATATGTGTCGCATACTAGTTTTGGTGTATTGTTTACTGAAGTGATCTATCATGCTGCTATTCAGAGTTTTAATGGGCATGTCATTATGTTCCTCTTTTCTGCAGAGAATAAAGGTGGGAATTTACTGGTTGTGAACACTGGTACCACAGAATGTGATAGAAGAACAAAAGGAAACAATCAGCTGCTGGCAAGCAAAGAGGACAGGGCACAGCAGGAGAGCTGTGCGGCTGCTGTGGATGGACTTGCTTGTCACACTCCACCTACTCCTCCCAAAAAACGTCACTGCCGATCACTATCAACTGGTGAGCTCTCAGGAAATGCAAAATTGAATAAATGGCAACCCAAGGCATCTAGTATATGGAAGCCAGTACCGATAAAGTACCGTGATCTTGTAAGCATCTCACCCCAACTCCAACTTGCCAGCCATGGTTTTGGTGGACCAAACTTGCCAATTGGGATAAACGAGTTTTCCACACCACCCGAGTCGCCTGTTCCACGCCCTGCATCAGCTACCCTAGACCGTACCTTCACAGCTCCATGGCTGGAAAATAGCCCCATTCGACATGCCCATGTATTGAAAGCTCGTAGTCTGTCATTATCAGAAGATTTCACAGAAAGCTCTAGTTGTGCAACACGGGTTAACAGCAGTGTTGAATTGCCAAGGAAACGCTTTGGTTTGCCACGATGTCGCTCCCAACCATGTGTACTAGACCGAAAAGGGGGATTAAAGAGAAGGCGAGGTGATGATATTGCAAGACCAGCTTTAGATTTTGAGAAGATGAAAGAGGTAGGATTCTTGTAGATTTCATTATTTGTACATGAGTGTTCCTGTATACTCCTGGTGGTTGATAACTAGTTACCACTGTATACTCATGGTGGTTGATAACTAGACCACTGTATACTCATGGTGGTTGATAACTAGTTACCACTGTATACCGGTACTCATGATGGTTGATAACTAGACCACTGTATACTCATGGTGGTTGATAACTAGACCACTGTATACTCATGGTGGTTGATAACTAGACCACTGTATACTCATGGTGGTTGATAACTGGACCATTCTATACTCATCGTGGTTGATAACTAGACCACTGTATACTCATAGTGGTTGATAACTAGACCACTGTATACTCATGATGGTTGATAACTAGACCACTGTATACTCATGATGGTTGATAACTAGACCACTGTATACTCATGGTGGTTGATAACTAGTTACCACTGTATACTCATGATGGTTGATAACTAGACCACTGTATACTCATGGTGGTTGATAACTAGACCACTGTATACTCATGGTGGTTGATAACTAGACCATTGTATACTCATGGTGGTTGATAACTAGACCATTCTATACTCATTGTGGTTGATAACTAGACCACTGTATACTCATGGTGGTTGATACCTAGACCACTGTAAACTCATGGTGGTTGATAACTAGACCACTGTAAACTCATGGTGGTTGATACCTAGACTACTGTATACTCATGGTAGTTGATAACTAGACCATTGTATACTCATGGTGGTTGATAACTAGACCACTGTATATTCATGGTGGTTGATAACTAGACCACTGTATACTCATGGTGGTTGATAACTAGACCACTGTATACTCATGATGGTTGATAACCAGACCATTGTATACTCATGGTGGTTGATAACTATACCACTGTAAACTCATGGTGGTTGATAACTAGACCACTGTAAACTCATGGTGGTTGATACCTAGGCCACTGTATACTCATGGTGGTTGATAGCCAAACCACTGTATACTCATGATGGTTGATAACTAGACCATTGTATACTCATGGTGGTTGATAACTAGACCATTGTATACTCATGGTGGTTGATAACTAGACCATTCTATACTCATTATGGTTGATAACTAGACCACTGTATACTCATGGTGGTTGATACCTAGACCATTCTATACTCATTATGGTTGATAACTAGACCACTGTAAACTCATGGTGGTTAACTAGACCACTGTAAACTCATGGTAGTTGATACCTAGACTACTGTATACTCATGGTGGTTGATAACTAGACCACTGTATACTCATGGTGGTTGATAACTAAACCATTGTATACTCATGGTGGTTGATAACTAGACCATTCTATACTCATTGTGGTTGATACCTAGACCACTGTATACTCATGGTGGTTGATAACTAGACCATTGTATACCATGGTGATTGATAACTAGACTACTGTATACTCATGGTGGTTGATAACTAGACCACTGTATACTCATGATAGTTAAG